ATGTTTCAAATGTTTCTTAAATTTTATATAACGTGGAATACGCTGAAGATAGTATTTTAGAAAGTCTAGAATACTCATTTCCATTCTTGTCCAAGTATGGAGTTCAGTTTCCAATATAATTAAGTTGCACAAATTTACACAGATGTGTGTGTGTGTGTGTGTGTGGGGGGGGGGGTCATTTGGAGATTTGGGAGAGAGTCTCATAAAAGAGGCTCTGCCAATTAGAATACACCATGAACTTCTTTGTAAGTTTATTAAATCATTCCTATTGCTGTTCATACAATGAACTTTATTCTCGTTTTCCAACTGAAACTACATTTTGCTGTGACTATCAGATTTACTATCACAAACTTGCTCACACACAAAGCGCGCACACGTGAGGATTCACCAGACCCAAATCCCAGCACATGTCAGCGTTTTGAGGGATCATATAGATGCAAATGCAGCCATGTCATTGCAGAAGCCGTAGATCTGTTCTGTCGAGGCTGATGCTGTCATGTCTAGAGCTGATTCCATCTGCTTTTCATCATTTTTTTCCTTCTTCAAGATCTTATTTCCATATCATTCCAAACCTTTGGAATCCTCTCATCTTATTCGCTCTCCTTATCCCTTTTCCTCCTCCACAACCCCCTCAAACTTCTCCAGCAGCCTGTCTCTTCTGGTCCTGTCAGGAGTGGTGGGAGTGACAGCAAAGAGGCAGGTGTCACAGCCAAACACCAAAACGGCAGGGAGGAGGCCTCCTGCATCGTTTGTTCTTCTTGCTGCTCTCCTCTCATCTTTCCTTGTGAAGGTTGCAAATACCCTCGCCTCACGTCTCTCTTCTCTGACATGTACTGTACATGCAAAACAGACATGACTTCGACTCACAGACCTGCACCTCTGCGCCTCATTCAGCCGCTGTTGGTCAGTCCACATTTTCCGTCTCAGAGTATTTTCTTTTCAGTGCCATTTTTGACCTTTCTGTAACTTTGATGAAGGATAAATGAACAGTATCATTTTGTGAAAATGTATTCTTTAGTCAGAAAGTATAGATCTTTATTTTAGGTAATGACAAACTAATTCATACTGTGGCCAATATGACAGCAGTCTCATGGATTACTGTTCTGATTACCGTAATTTCCAGACTATAAGCTGCTACTTTTTTTACACACTTTGAACACCGTGGCTTATACATTGATGCAGCAAATGTATTTATTTATTTATTTATTTTTGCCGGGCTAACGAGCTTTATTCTGCCAAAACATTTAGCCTCGTCACAGCCAGGCACTCACAGAACGGCCCAATACATGTCTTTCTTGGGGGGTGGGTCCTCGTGACTCAATGAGACTACCTGGATAAATAAAGGTTAAAAACATGTGACCCATGAAATTATCAAACAGGTCACAGTGGACTAATGAAACAGGACGGGGAGGAGAGTCTATTCTCTCCTCTCTCCCCATTGTGACTGACCCCCCCCCCCCCCCCCCCGACAACGGAGCATTGTTAAAAAAAAACACTGCAGAAGGAAGGTGAAGATAGCATCAATGACTTCCTGGTAGGCTTCTGTATTATTTATTCATTCATTTTACCAGCCATGTTACAGTCACAGTTCAGAAAAAAAAATACTGTATGTATTTGTGTATGTTACGGGTACGTATTTAATAATAAAGTTTTTAAAAAATTGTGTTAATCTCAACAACATGAACACCTGCAGTTTTATACAAGTGTGGCTAATATATGTACAGTTATTATTATTATTTTGTTGTGGGTGTGGCTTTTATTCGGGTGCGCTCAATAGTCCAGAAATTATGGTAATTGTTTCCAGATTAAAGAGTGATAAAACCTGGAGCGCAAAACAAAAAAGGGGAATGTAAGAAGGGAGGACAACATCATTGCTTTATTTTATTTCCACTACCTATTCGTTTGGGTGACTGTCATGTCTAAATCTTTTAAATATATTTTTTCAATGTATTTTTGTCAGTGCACTAAAACTTTTACAACCCAGAGATGTGAGCTTACAGATACAGTTTAGAAACATCTCAGCTCTTTTTTCACTTACTGAAGTCAAATGTTATAACTCATATTACCCTGTGTGTGTGTGTTAGTTGTTTTGTCTGGATCAGAGGCTGCAGCAGTCGTCTGACCTTGCCTTCGTCTGATAACATTTATAAAAAAACGCTCTTTTAGGCTCTCGACGAGCAGACTTGGGACGGAGCGTCATGTACCATTTGGATGCTTGTATTTCAACACTGCTCCATCTTGCAAGATTAAAACCTGGGATTAAGAAAATATCTATCTCTCCTGTGTGGCTATTTATTTAATAAGTTATTGAAAGGATAATAATAAATTATCCTAACACTCTCGTTCAGTTTTCAGTATAAGCCGGGTTAAAGTAAATATCTCTAAAACTGGGTTGTGAGGTGCCTCACCATGAAGAGAATACATTACTCTTTGTTTTTTTTCCAATTATTTTTATTTTTCAAATGTTGAAAAATGGGAAAATTCCTTTGAGTTATTTTACATACCAACTTACTGACAGACAGCTTGACTTCAACCAAAATAAGAGCTATATCACATGTTTCCTGCACAAACATTTGGGTTTTATTTTGGCTCAAAAGTAATAAAAATGTATTTAATAATTAAGTTTGAACCTTTCCATACTGAGCCATAAATTCAAAATATCTGTATTGATTGGTCTTATTGTATAGGAACCATCACGTTAACATAAATACAACGTGTTGCATCTTTCAAGCTGCCTCATGGCACTGTTTTAATTTCAAGTTCATAAAAACAGTGTGTGAAATTAAAAAAAAAAACGATGCAACTACTCAAACACGTATGATCCTGAATGTTTTCACATCACGTCACACATGCAAGAACACACCCAAACACACACCGTTTGCTTCCCTCCCTCATCCAACACACAACACTTCCTCCAGAATGTGCAGGCAGTGTGTGCTGTGCAGGCAGGAGATAACGTCCCAGAAGTTTTCCAAGGGCAGAACGTGAGCTCTGAGAGCTCAGACTTCAGAGGGGAGCCGCAGCGAGCTCAAGCTGATTCTCTACATGTGTTGCATCTGCCTTCTATTAAAAAGCCAAGAGCACTCTGGCTGTCTCTCCTGGACGTGCGCTCACACTCACTGCCTGCAGACCTTCTGTCTTTCTGTCTGCTGCTCTCTCTAAACTACTCCCTTTTTATCTCTTTCCACTAAACTTGCAGTTTTCTCTGAAGACATGCTCTATCTCCTAAATTTGGCAGCGTAGCTCTGGCACCTGGTATGAAAATGCAAAGTAGAATCATTAGGATATGTTTTTTGTGGCTTCGTGATTTTGCTGCTGGTTGTATTTTTTCATTAATATTTTTTTTTTCTAATTTAACATAACTACAGGAGTTTTCCAGATGTTTATTTTAGAGCAATGTATCTCTAACAATTATGGTGTTTGTACCATTTGACTTTAAGGACTTCGTGATCTTTACAAAGTTGTCACAAGACGAGGGTTAGTCCTCAAATCACTCTGTTGGCTGCTCACACTGTCCGACCAAATGTCACTGTTAGAAAGTCAAATCACATTCATTGTCCTCGCAGATAGCTTTAACATGTCCGTGTGTAGCTCTGCACTTTGCATAATTTTACAACTTATTTTTAGTAGCAGCTCCATACATCTACATTTGTATTACTCATTAAATGGGTTTTTGCAAAAGGAAAAGAAAAACAGCTCTGACTATCCATCCATCCATCCATTTTCTTTACCCGCTTATTCCATTTTGGGTCACGGGGGTCGCTGGTGCCCATGTCCAGCAATCACTGTGCGAGGGGCGGGGTACACCCTGGACGGGTCGCAAGTCCATCACAGGGACACATAGAGACAAACGAGACAAACAACCATTCACTCTCTCACTCACACCTAGGGACAATTTAGAGTTACCAATCAGCCTAACATGCATGTTTTTGGTCTGTGGGAGGAAACCGGAGTACCCGGAGAAAACCCACGCATGCACGGAGAGAACATGCAAACTCCACCCAGAAAGGCCCCTGGACCGGGGTTTGAACCAAGGACCTGCTCACTGAGAGGCAGCAGCTCTACCAGTTGCGCCACCGTGCTGCCCTAGCTCTGACTAGTTGTCTTTTTTTTTATTTTTTATCAAAGGTAAAAATATTTATGAGTCAAAAACACATTTATGTTGCTGCTGTTTGTCACAAACAGGAGCACATTAAAATGTCAGAATCAGGCACCGTTCCATGGATTATGGACCACACGGTCTAAAGAAATACAATATTTATTGTATTTATTTATTATTTAATAGTAAATAACAAGACCTTGAATAAAGAATTTATTTAAAAATTAAACATTCAGGCTAGATTTGTAATTCTGATGCTAATTGTTGTCAACATATAAATCTTTCTGTAAATCAGAATAGAAGTTTACAATATAGTTTTATGCTATATGTAGAAGGGGTATCAAACGACCATATTTTTTGTCCTTTAAGTCACATTTTTTCCATAATTTGCATGCCTTGCGACTTATATGCTGAAGTGACATATTTGTTTTTTTCCCATATTTATAAACCAATTTTTGGCTGTGATATGACTTTCATTCATTCTGAGTGTAAATATTGAACACTACCTTTTTCAGCTGATAGATGGCACTCAAGTAGGGTGGAATGCCATTGTGTCATGTAATAGGTAAAATTGGCTATTAATGACACAATCGGCTTGCCATAGACCACCACCTTTGTCCAGCTCCAGAATCATGCCTGGAGCAAACGTCAAATCAGCTTCATTTCACTGCACCACCCCGCAAAATGCAGCTAATTTGACCATCGAAGTGCATTTATTAAGTAAAAGCTCAATTGAGAGACACCTTTACTATAATGTCCAGCAAACATATAATTGTTTTAGGTGCTTGTTAGGTTTCGAAGAAATGCACAGCGCTCTTCCTTCCTGATTTCCTCCGTCTGCGTACTCCCGGAGCACCGAGGCAGCGAATACTTTTGAAATATCTTTATTGGTTACACAGAGTTGGAAAAGACAGGAGCTTCTGGAGAGGTGGTGGATGTTTATTCATCGTTTTCGTAGTCAGCAGGGTTCTTCCTTTTGCTCTGTTCGTGGACGTAGTTGCCCCAGCTGTAGACCATATACACTAAAACCACATGAGGAACAACTCTGAAGAACAAACCCCTGAACCTTCTCCGCGTATTTGGGAGTGCGTCGGGAAAAAAGTTGGGGAAAGCCTTCTGCTCAAAGTGGGGCAGACTGAATGTGATTATATGCCTGATCCTGGCCAGATTTCCAAAATGGCGGCCCATGTTCACCGATGAGATGATCGTTCTGCCTCTGGACAGTCGTGTTTATCTGGAATGCAGCTGATTTGACCGTCAAAGTGCATTTATTAAGCAAAGTTAGACTGAGACACACCTTTACTATAATTTTGAGCAAACAAATAATTGTTTTTAGGTGTTTATCGTGTTAAATTTCGAAGAAATGCACAGCAATTTGTCCTTCTGCGTGTGCCCGCTTCCACCTATCAGCTTTTGCATTACAGCTGATTTGATCTCAAAGTGCATTTATTAAGGAAAAGATAGACTGAGACACACCTTTAATTTCGAGCAAACAAATAATTGTTTTTAAATGTTAATCTTGTTAAATTCTTGTTGAAGTCCTCCCGTTCACGCTCCCGGGACCTCCATTTGGCAGCCCATCGATTTTTGGCACAACACCGGCCCACATTTCCAGGTTTGATCCACATTTCCGTGTTGTCAGCAGTGAGGCACAATAGATGCAACGTATTTATGAATTTTTCCACTTTATTAGACATATTTGGACTGATGCGACTGATAGGGCGGTGCGACGTGTACGGTGGAAATTACAGTAAATGTGTAAAAAAAAAAAAAAAATAAGAATCAGATGAATGGACAGCACAGTTTTGGCTTTCTGTTATAAACATTTTGTTTTAATTAGTCTGTGTTTAAATGTAGACAATTCAAAGAAGATTTATTTTAATCAATAAGGTCAGCAGGTGCCCTTTAATCTGCTTGGCCAGGGAAACGCTGCACAGTGTTACTGGTGTACTGTGGTAAACACCCTATTGAACTATATTATCATTAGATGTTTGTACTAAAAGTAGAGCTGATTGATTAAGAACCCAGAGATATCCGTTAATGATCTGCTGTCTTACCTGACTGAAGAACAAAGTTTAAAGATAGGCTGTTCATCAACTCACAATTTTTAATTACTTGCTCATTTCCTATGCCACAATCTCATCTTCAGGGTTTAAATTATGTTGTGGTGAAAGATATAGTTTTAGGTGTGTGTGTGCGTGTGTGTGTTGGATTATGTGTGAGAGAGAGGAGAAATGGCGTGGTGGACTTGTTAAAAAGAGCCTTTTTGCAGCACTTATGTCGGCTTCAGCTGATAATTATTTCAGATTACATTAGAGGAAATTAAACATTTTTTAAAGTACGTGTGAGGGTGACAAAGTTATCAAGTGCAGACTGAGGGGGGAGTGTGAATGTTGCACATCCAGAATTGCACTTTTTTATTTCAATTGCTAATAAGATCATTTTCAAGTGTTAAAAAATAATGGGTGGTGTCAGAGCAGTTGAGCAGAATGGTCGTTTACACGCACGGATCGGTGGCACACGGCGCCAAGTGATGAAACCTTATCAGAGTCAGTCACAGAAAAAACAACTGGAAATGTGAAGGGTATAAATCTGTTAGGACTGCAACACAGGTACAATTTAATGTTACTTTAACATTATTGAACATTTATTTCAACTCGTCGAAGGGTGAGAGTAATTTGTTTTCTTTGGGATCCACTTTGACCTGCATCTGTGTGTGCTCATCATTTGCAGTCAGCAGGATTCCCTTTGATGTTGAGCCAGTTTGTGAGTTCAAGTTGTGAAAATCTGTTTGTAGTCAGACATTCCATCATTTCGACATCTGTCTGGCCTGCTGATCAGTCCCTCCAACAGACTGCTATCAGCTGATAAGCGTGTTTACGCCTGCCTTATCGCTGTCTATTTAAGGCTTGTGGCCACATGAAACTGTTGCAGAAATCGAGACAGATGAGATAGTAGCATCATACCAGCAGTTGAACTAGTCACAGCGTTCAGCTCGATAGCAAACTGATCTGTAGTCAAGTTCGTCTCTTCCTTTTAGACTCTGAAGGCTGCTGGTAAAAGCTCAAAGTTCATGCGCAATAATCCAGGTTAAAAAAATCCAATAAAGTTAAGTCAGGTCAGGATTATTGAGCATGAACTTTAATGTTTTGAACCACTTTGGCCATGGCTGCCTCAGAGGAGTCGATAGGACAGAGGGCAGACCCTAGAACACCAAACTAGTTGGTCCACTATGTGAGTGCGCTACTTGTGGGACTGAGTTTGTTGAGGCTCCTCGGACTGATGAAGTCCTTTGGATGAAAGACGAAAAGTTTGAACACAAAGAAACCGTCCAGAGGACCTGACTTTTCTTTGTTGGATCATACTGATAATCTTGTAATAATGTTTTGTTGGCTGTTAGAACAGGACTCACTTGTTTGAACCATAAAAAGTTGAACCAACATCATTAAAATGCACTAATTTTACTCCGGTAGTTTATACTATTTTCAATGGTAACACCAACGGTATGTTCAGAAAACGTAAACAGTGAAACTAATGATGTGAACGTGGACACAGGATTAGGTTGGAGAACGTATGTCTTGTTATCCATGGTGGTGAAGAGCAAGGAGTAAAACTGCATTCATAAAACACTTCTTTTTTCTGCTGCAGCTGTCTACTGTTTGAAAATATACTTTATATTTTATCCACGGCCTTGAAAAGGCTCATTGTGATTAAAAGATATAAGATAATTACCAGTTTTAGAGGACTGACATGCATACGTGAAAATGAATTAATAAATCGTTGTCTCCTTAAACTACAAGCTTTAACCAACAACTGAGTGCAAATATGACATTTCTAGCAGCATGTATTAAGGCCAACATTTGTTTTTCTCAGACTTTGGACAGTTCTTTGTAAGGTCAAAGTTTACTTTGATTAGCATGTAATCATTCCATTTGAAAATCAAAACAAATACCACCTCTAAAATTAAGAGAATGGAAAAGTGTTTTAGCTTGTATAAATATATTATAACCTGCTTTTAATTCTAATATTGTTTACATGAATTGAAGCTTTGAATTTAGGAGAGTTTAAGTAGATCTGCATAATAATGGTTTCTGAAATAAGGAGTGGATTGCAGAGCCAAGACACATCCCCCACTTTCCAGTAGGTAACAACATTAGCAGTTAGACATCGCTGGCCCGATTGTAGCTTTGAGAGGTGGCTGCCGTGCAGTAGGACTGGAGAGAAGGCGAGGAGGGTGTGCAGGGGGTTCTGCTCTAAGGTCTTGTGCTTATCAGTGCAGGACAGATACTGTTCCTATGGTTCCGGCTGACAGGTGAGGTGTGTGTTGGTTGCAGTTGTTGGTGAACCCTGGCTGAGGGATGGTTTTGTGTTTGGGAGCAGGTGCATCTCCCCTTCCCCCTTGTTCCCTCATTCCCCTTGGAGGCATATGGTGAGAGTGATTGCAGAGACTGGAGGCCCACAGGGAGTGCTCCTCCTCGCCAGTTCATCTGTTCTAGATGGGGTCCTGTGGGACATCCAGTCTCCTGAGGTCCGTGTTGTCTGGGAATCAGGCCATCACTTTCAGGTTGACTTCTTTGTTACAATGCTGGGCAGTCGCAGTGGCCACCCCCTTTGGTTTTACACAGTGCAGCGTTCTATATCACAATTTTGTGACAAATGCCAAATGGCTTGTAGGGTACACCCTCTAATTTGTTTGCAACACATTTTATTTGTATGCAGTGTTGCTTTTAATCTACTCATTCTTGCTGCTGTTGTCCTTAAATAGAAATGCCATCTTGCTGTGATTTACTAGCCCGTATCTGTAAACCACGTTTCCCATGTGATGCAGTTTACACAGGATTCAGTAGAGTGTTAGGCCCTGTATAATGTATGTTTCTTTTTTTATAGTACTTTATTATAAATGAAATTTTGTAAATAATTCATAGTTAAAAAGCATAAATACACTCGGACTCATCAAAATAACAACAGCAATATATTTTTTCTTCCTTCTAAATCCACCGGCTTGTCCTTTGGTCTAATTTCCAACTTGGGAGTTGGTGAAGGTGTAAGTGCACGTCTTGATAGCAGTTTCAAGGGAGATATGTGTTGCTTGTGCTGTTAGGTGTGTGAGAGAAAGAGTGTAATGGAAAAATATAGAGAAGGAATATGTCACCTGAACGAACAAAGAAGCAAGAACTCTACCTCCTAATGCATCCTTTCTTTACCACTCTACCATCAAGTCTCTGGTTCTGCGGTCCGTTTCTCACCACCTTACAGCTCCTTCCCCTGGCCTCCAAGCAGCTGCCACTTCTGAGCCTGAAGAAATTGAAGGCAGATGAATCAATTTGGCCTGTGGCCCTAAAGTGCACTTGTCTGTGCCCCAGCTTGGGCGCGGGGGATAATGAGCCAATAGATTGAGCTGGTGCCGTGGCCCGGCACTGAGCACCGAAGCGCCTCTACCTGCCACACCACTGGGCCGTCCTCACACACGTAAGCACACACATACATCCACAGACCTGCTGCCACCTCCCTGAGCAGCAGCAGCAGCTTGTCGCTGGGTTAATAGAGGTGAGGGTCCTTTGCACAAGACACTTTTCAGAACAAATTAGAGAAATGATCTGTATCTGTCATCTTCAGCACTTCCTGTATTGCCTTTTCCTCGTCTCGTGCCTGGGAAGTCCAGAGAAGAGCGTTGTAGATTTTGATGCAGAAGAACATCAAGAGAGCTAGACAGGAAGGAGCAGGTGGAGGTTAAGGTCCAAGATCTTCGACTAATGAGGATTGACACTTGGACAAGACTGAGGCACAGCTTCCCTCAGAACTAATGACAGGTGATGGCAGACAGGGGAGAGCTGAGACAGAGTGAGAGAGGCTGGAGCCGAGAGAGGAGAAGTGAGGTCAGAACTAACAGCCTCTCTGATCCAAGGAGGAAGAAAGTGGGAGACCACATAGACTTTTGATGCCCCTCCTGCACCCCCTGCACAGTGAAGAAGGAAGTAGGATCAAAAGAACTGGACAACAAAGCATCACCCGCCAGCCTCCAGCCAGCTCCCTGCTGACAAACTGCAGATTGATTGACACTGCAAGGGCAGAGAGGAAGCATGGAAGGAAAAGGAAAGTTAGCCAAGCCTAGCATGCTCTGAGCCACTGCTGTCTGTCTGTGCCTTGACAAGCCATTCCTGCACAGGGGGTCTCTGTGATTTAACCCA